CATGATCCTCGTGGAACACCATTCTTAAGCATCCCCATGATCCTTGTGGAACACATTCTTAAATGCGTCCCCATGATCCTTGTGGAACACCACTCTTAATGCGTCCCCATGATCATTGTGGAACACCACTCTTAATGCGTCCCCATGATCCTTGTGGAACACCACTCTTAATGCATCCCCATGATCCTTGTGGAACACCATTCTTAATGCATCCCCATGATCCTTGTGGAACACCACTCTTAATGCGTCCCCATGATCATTGTGGAACACCACTCTTAATGCGTCCCCATGATCCTCGTGGAACACCATTCTTAATGCATCCCCATGATCCTTGTGGAACACCATTCTTAATGCATCCCCATGATCCTTGTGGAACACCATTCTTAATGCATCCCCATGATCCTTGTGGAACACCACTCTTAATGCATCCCCATGATCCTTGTGGAACACCACTCTTAATGCGTCCCCATGATCCTTGTGGAACACCATTCTTAATGCATCCCCATGATCCTTGTGGAACACCACTCTTAATGCATCCCCATGATCCTTGTGGAACACCACTCTTAATGCATCCCATGATCCTTGTGGAACACCATTCTTAATGCATCCCCATGATCCTTGTGGAACACCATTCTTAATGCATCCCCATGATCCTTGTGGAACACCACTCTTAATGCACCCCCCATGATCCTTGTGGAACACCACTCTTAATGCATTCCCATGATCCTTGTGGAACATCACTCTTAATGCTTCCCCATGATCCTTGTGGAACACCATTCTTAATGCATCCCCATGATCCTTGTGGAACACCATTCTTAATGCATCCCCAAGATCCTTGTGGAACACCACTCTTAATGCATCCCCCATGATCCTTGTAGAACACCATTCTTAATGCATCCCCATGATCCTTGTGGAACACCATTCTTAATGCATCCCCATGATCCTTGTGGAACACCACTCTTAATGCATCCCCATGATCCTTGTGGAACACCACTCTTAATGCATCCCCATGATCCTTGTGGAACACCATTCTTAATGCATCCCCATGATTCTTGTGGAACACCACTCTTAATGCGTCCCCATGATCCTTGTGGAACACCACTCTTAATGCATCCCCATGATCCTTGTGGAACACCACTCTTAAAAGACAAATATACTCGACAAACTGGTCCTTATACACCATGATGCGAATCCAAACCTCCTTATAAGTTTGACGCAGATCGGAAGAGCATTCTCGAGTTATTTAATGGAATCGACAGTGATTTTTGGATGTATAAAACTGACAAAAGAGGAACAACTTATCCCAATAAGAATTTGAATTTACGTCCCAGATACACAAATACTGAAAGTTTAAAGCCTATCAGATGACTCATTATTGTACAGAAACATGGAATGAAAAAATAAAAACACTGTACCTGAGTATGTGACCGGCTCTACAATAAAGTAGTAAGAAAGTAAAGTGTTTAATGCCTTACAGCATTATACAACTTAAAAAGTCACAAAAAACGAAAGTTAAGTATTAGAAAATTTTATTTAAGCAGTTATATTCTGTTTTAAATTTTTTGCAATTTTTTGAGATTTTTTCTTAAGAAACTGATATACAAGGACAGCCGAAACACTGAAATACAATTTTAAAGTTGGCATCCACAAAGTCCATTAACAACCAGAAGCTTCGTCTAGATAAGATACATAGCATTGGAGGTTTGAAGCCAGTCAGATGTGGCATTCATAGGGTACTGCATTAAGAAACATTTCTTAATTTTCCTAGTTTCTTCGATGCAGAAGTCAAATTGATACCCTATTATTATTATTATTATTGCAACTAAGCACTAAACCCAATAGGGCCATACAGCACTGCAAATGATACTTTAGACCAGGGCATTTAATCTATGATTACAGGCTTTAGTTGGGTTGGTAGCTCACTCACCTCACACACTGAGGTCCATGGTTAGAGCCTCAATACAGGTGGATACATTAATATATGTTACCTTAAGACTCCTGCTGTCTATATTTACCTAGCAGTAAGCATGTACCTGGGTGTTAGTCGACTGGTGTGGGTCACATCCTGAAGACAAAATTGACCTACAGTGGACCCTCGGTTATCGGTTGCAATCCGTTCCAGAATCTCGGCCTAAAACCGAAATGGCCAAAAAACGAAATAATATTTCCCATAAGAATTAATATAAATTCAATTAATCTTTTCCAGATATTAAAAAAATATTAAATTTTTTTTTTTTAAAAGATTAGTTATAGTTTTGCTTACACAAAATAATGAGAACTAAATAAAATAAATACATGAACAATTAAATCAGTATTATATATCTTTATTGAAGACTGTTCTTGGCTTATGGAAGATAGGGAGGAGGAGGAGAGAGGTTTAAGAGTCACTGGAACTCACTCTACTTTGCAAACATGTCCTTAATCACTGAAGAAGGCACATTCTCCCCTATCTTTTCCTCCTCCTCTGTTGCTGTTCCAGATGAAGGTCTTGCAGCTCTACCCTCTACCACCATCAAAATCACTACCACCATCACTACCACCCTCTACCACCATCACTACCACCCTCTACCACCATCATAACCACCCTCTACTATCATCACAACCACTACCATCCTCTACCACCATCACAACCACCCTCTACCACCACCACTCTTGTACTTTGCTACAATTTTTTAAATTCCATCATGTTTCTCACTTTCTTTACCAAAGGAACTTTACTAGGAACTTTCTTTATGGCCATGGTTACTTATTTCACAGTTGCACTTAATAAATAACCACAAAAAACAATGGATTATTGCAAAATGTTTAGATGAATGAGCAGAAGCTTCCTCACTTGCCCAGAGACACAGCCAGACTGACGAGCAAGCGGCTGGCAGCCAGGGGGTGGTGCATTGACGTGTCCCATATGGCCGATAAGAGAAATGACAGCTGATAACCTGAAGCCAAAAAACCGGCTGATGACCGAGTTGGGCGATAAGCGGAACGACCGATAACAAAGGTCCACTGTAATTTGCCCAGGGGCTTTCTATATGGTATGTGGAAATTTATTCGGTCCCTAAAGTTCCACAGGACAGATGTGTTGTACAAAGATCCCAACATGGCCGTGTATGGAACAGCTGAGTTGGGTGGCCCTTAAACCCAACCAAAACACACACACACCTGGGTTGGCGAAGGTGGCTGGAAGGTACTTCTTAATTGATAGATTTACCCTTCAGGGAAGAAGTAGGTAGTTTATACTGTTAGTACACTAATATTAAGATTATTGAGGCAACTGTAGATAATAATGTAGACCTAAGACCTTAATGTAGGTAGTAATAGGCCATTAATGTAGGCAAACACTAGGCTATGTTAGCCAGGGAGAACTGGCAGCCCAAGTTTGAATGCTGGGGCATGGGTATTGAGACCGCCATGCCTTCTTCTAAGACTAGACACCGTCGTAGCAGCAAGTGCCATGATCAGCAGGCGGCGCCCCCACATGTCTTTACATACTAGACCTGGGGAAATCTGGTGGAGGCACCTTGACGTACCATAGAAGTCCTCCTCCATCAGGCCCATACAGTAAGACAAGACCTCCCTTTTTTCTTAGGATCCTGGCCAGTGGCTGGGGAAAATTGCGAGTGAGTTGTGCTGTGGCCTTCGTGCAGCTGGCAGTTCATGACCAGTACGTACTGGCGCCTCTTGTCAGCCTAGAAGCTAGCGTCACTCTCTGCATAGTTAGTCTAGGGGATATATGCCCCCCTTGGAAATAGGAATTTCTGAGGTGCAGGCAGGTCACTAATAACGATTGAATATTGCAGGAATTAAGGCTCCCAGCTGCACGTGGTTCTGAGGGAAAGTCCATGAGGCTAAAGCTTAGGGAGGTTGAAGACCAGAATAGATTCTCCAACACCAAGTTAGTTAGTCCTTCATACGTGCATGCAGGCGAGATTTCTTGCAACATCAGTCATTTATGAAAATCTGTCCTATGAGCCACTTGTGATGCTGAGGTACCAACCTCAGGGCTCGGTGTCAACAGAGCTTGCCAGGGTAGACAACTCATATGGAGGCAGTCCAGACAAATTTTCACATGGCAGTTGTATATGTAGAAATGAAGATTATTATTATTATGGATTGCCCATATCCTTTTCCCCAGATTGTGGAAATTATCACCATCATCAGTCCTATTAAGTACCAATAACATCAGAAAATGTCAATACCTGGAGAGGGTTTTGGGGGTCAATGCCCCCGCAGTCTGGTCTGATTATAACTTGGTTATACTTTACATATGGACAGCTAGCATCACAACAGCTGATAGCTTAATTTAACAACTTTCAGAGATAGAATTCCATACCTCTATTATAGTAATAATAATAATAATAATAATAATAATAATAATATCTTTATTTCTACCAGTACATGTACAAGGTATACAGACCATAGCCGACATCAGTGACATACTACTATATAGAAAGTCACTTGTTACGTTAAACATTTCCAGCAAATTAGGTCGATTTTGTCCCACACCAGTCCACTAACACCCAGGATGCGACCCACACCAGTCCACTAACACCCAGGATGCGACCCACACCAGTCCACTAACACCCAGGATGTGACCCACACCAGTCCACTAACACCCAGGATGTGACCCACACCAGTCCACTAACACCCAGGATGTGACCCACACCAGTCCACTAACACCCAGGATGTGACCCACACCAGTCCACTAACACCCAGGTATGTATTTTCTCATGGGTGAACAGGGACAGCAGGTGTCTTATGGAAACACATCCTAATATTTTCCAGCCATACCAGAGATTCAAACTCCGGACCTCAATGTGAGAGCTGAGTGCACTAGGGATCGAGCTGTCACCAAGGGGTTTAGATACCCCAGGTTAAGAACCCTTGGTCTATATCATCGTCAGCAGCAATACCATCATATTGATGAGGGTCTCAGATCGAGACGAAAAGACCCAGACCAACTATTGTCCTCTGTCTACCCATGACTTAAATAGAAACACAAGGGAAAACACGTTTTTATTGCATATTCTGACAGTTAGTAACAATGGTAGAATAACTGACAAAATGTTAGGTAAATGAAGCTTAACAAAACTCCTGGAGAGCAAAAGGCTGCCATAATAAAACGTCACATTAGTTGCATGTGATTATTTACTTGACGTATTCTGATAAGTGTGAAATCTTAATTAATGTGAATATTCAAACATAAATTGATGCTACATTGTGTGTTGCTGATACATCTCGGTATAAATATAGAAATACACATCGTCAGGTCTACCTGCACATATACACCTCTTATAGTATATACTCAGTTAAACACATCTTGTCGTATACTCGTATACATTTCAATACATTTCTCAGTGCTTAACAATTCGTAAACAGGTGAAGTTATTTACCAATATTGTCTCTACGTCCACAGCAAGACTCGAACCTGCAAATAATATAACTTTGTAAACAAGCCTGGTACCCCAGGGTGTGGGGAAACATCGTCTACCTCCGGCTAGGCGCCTGTACTTATCTGGGGTCTGGCTCTGTGGTAAAGTACTGTGTTCTCTGATATAGAGTTTGCAGGTTCGAGCCCTGCTGTGGACGTAGAGATAATGTAAATATCTCTCAGTGTATATAGCATGGGAGATACACACCTCTCGGTGTATATCCAGTAAGATGTGTATTTTTCAGTGAACATACACTACACTGAGAGCCACACATGACTGTATATACCCTGACTGAGAGGTGTGTGTCTTTCGGTGTACATAGACATATGCATATATATCAGTGTACAAAAAAATGCCACAGTGAAAACAATAAATGAAACCTGATCAGTTTCATGTGTTTACATCTTCAGAAGATGTGTCTAAGCACATGAAAGTGCTCGGGTTTTATTTCTTATTGTCACTGTGGTATATTTCCTACTTGCAATCATGCGTTTGTGATTTCTTCCACATACGAGTATATAAATATAGGTATTTGTATATCAGTGTATATACATAGAGATGCAAACAGTAAGCAGGTGATATCACAATATACAGAACAACCACTGTGAAAAATAGTAAACTTACAAGCGCTCAACTCGTGAAATTGTAATGACACGATTGCAAACATACCATACCAGTGGCCAGCGTGTCGGCTTGGAGTTTTACGACTCTGATCGCGGGTTCTATGCCCGCTCGTGGTATTTTTTTTCCAAGTGTTTTCTTGATTTCTCACATTATCAAGGAACAATTGTTTGATATGAGAAATCTTGAAAGTGCTTGGATGTTCACTATTTTTCACAGTGTTTGTTCTGCATACACAGATACACAAATATCTGTACTTCCCTCTGAGTAATTTCTTCTTATACAAAAACTACAAGTTAGGCTGGCCATTGAAGGGCGGTTCAAATTCCTTGAATGAAGAGCTCCTCTGCCAGCATCAGGGCCACCTGTCTATGAGACCTACAAGTTTGGGTCGCCCTTAGCAGCCCCGTCACCCTGCGCGGCCGCTTCGTCAAAGTTATCAGCTGAGTTATTGGCCTGGTGCTGGTCAGTGAGGATGTCATCATGGTTCTCCTTGTTTACCATGGGGCATTGGATGCACCTGTGGGGGTATGGGGGGCATTAATGAGGAGTCAGGGTCGTTGCTGTCCGTCCTTGCATCAGCAAAAGTATTGATGTTATGATACAGATGCCTTATGCGATCTTAAAATGTAGGCGTATCAAATTCTAATGTGTGTGTGTGTGTACTCACCTATACGTCATTTCAGGGGTAGATTCACAGCTCTTCTTCATTAGACACTACTAGGTCCATTCTCTCCATGCTCCAAAAGCCTTATTGGACCTCTTCTTAAAGATATATATATATATATAATATATATATATATATATATATATATATATATATATATATATATATATATATATATATATATATATATATATAATGTCGTGCCGAATATGTAAAACTGGTCAATTAGCAAGAACTCCTTTAAAATTAAGTCCATTCTAAAATTTTCTCTTATACATTTAAAGATATATTTTTTTCATTACTGTTAATGTAAAAAAAATTAATTTTGTACCAAAAGAATCTTAGAAAACTTACCTAACCTTATTATAAAAAGAACAATTTATTTTAGCCTAACCCAACTAAATATATTTTAGATTTGTTTACAATAATTTTTTAAAATACTAAATTAAACACAGTGAAATTTATTTTTTTCAGATTAGGTTCAGAGATGAATTTTTGGCGAAGATTTAATTGCATACACAAATTTGTACACTTGTCCTTACTGGCAAGACATGAGGCGTTGCTAATGATAGCAGTCGACAAGTTCTGCTATTCGGCCACGCCTTTAATACTTATATATAAAATATATATAATATATAAATAATATATATATATATATATATATATATGGATCCTACCTCCACTACACTGTCTGGCATGTGGTGTATATAATTCTGTAACTGACTCTGAAGAGATTTCTAAAAGCTAACCTGAGATCTCCCAGTTGCGCAAATGTTGCGGATACTGTTTCATGTGCCCCTTAGGCGATATACTTGGTGCTATTCTCAGCCAAATGCCCTTTTTAAGTAAAGTTTGCAGCCTTTGTCTTTGAGAATTTCTGTTCTTTGCTTGTCCCCTTCTTTTCATAACCTTGCATGGGCTGGGGCTGAATTCCAACAGTCAGTTATCAGAGCAATTCCACAGCTTTTCCAGGTCCGTTTGTAGTCTTTCCTTGTATTGTGTGTTTATTCTCATCTTCACGTATTCTGAAACAAGGATACATCAGTGTCTTGTGGCAGTTTTTTCACATATCCCTGGAGTATACTTGAAGAGGGTTTCAGGGGTTATCACCCCCGAGGCATGGTCTGTGACCAGGTGTCGTGGGGGGTTCAGTGATGGATTTGGAGAATAAACACACACATGTTGGATGACTTGGCAGTGTGTATTAAATGAGAGAAGCCGAGAACTTGCCTGTCTGTCTGCCCTTGCCTTCTATTAAAACCTGACTGGCTGACCTGCTCTGAGGCACAGTGGTTCAAAAGGACTCGTGACATCGCAGCCAATGACTCACATAACGGTTAGTGATTCACCTAATGGTTTTAATGAAGTCACGTAGTCAGGGAGGTGGTGACTGTAACGGTTACTGGTATGAGTACACAGTACTACTGACACAGACCTCGTGGTGGATCAGGGCCTGATCAACCAGGCTGTTACTGCTGGCTGCACGCTAACCAATGTACAAACTACATCCTGGCTGGTCAAGTACTAACTTTAGGTGCTTGTCCACCTACTTGAAGACAGCCAGGGGTCTATTGGCAATCCCCTTTATGTATGCTGGGAGGCAGTTGAACAGTCTTGGGCCCCTGACACTTGTGTTGTCTCTTAGCGTACTCGTGGCGCCCCTGCTTTTCATTGTTACTCCAGCAGCATTACCAGTCCCTGTGATGATCTTGGTACAATCTTATTGTTACATTCATTTTAAAGCCGCTTCCTGTAATCACTTTTTGTTTCCTTATTGTTCGACATCTCTTGTTTTATTATAAAGCTGTCCCGTAGCTCGCTTGGAAGCACACTCAGCCCACACACTGAGGTCAGTGGTTTGATTCCTGGTACGGGTGGACACATTAGGGCGGGTTTCCTTAAGACACCTGTTGTCCCTGTTCACCTAGCAGTGAATAGGTACCGGGGTGTTAGCCGACTGGTGTGGGTGGTATCCTTAGGGACAAAAATAACGTAATTTACCCGAAATGCTCTGCATAACCTGGGACTTTCTGTATAGTATGTCACTGATGTCTGCTATGGTTCGTGTAAGTTGTATAATGTACTTGTAGAAGTAAAGATTATTAATATTATTAGTAGTAGTGGTATTATAATTAATATTAACAGTAGTTTGGCATTTGTCATATGCCTTGCCGCTTCATTACTGATGTCCATCACTGTGTTGTCATATTTCTGTCTTGGCCTCCTGCTGTTTGGTATCGGGTTGCACATCACTGTTATCATCACCTTGAGTTTCCCAGTGTGGAGTGTGCCTAGTATGCACTCATATTACTCCTCACTGTCTGTGCAATTAAATAGCGTTTCACTATTTTAATATTTCACTTATTTTTTTAAAAATACAAAAAGTCCATAAAAATCTATGTGTTTTTGAAAATTTCGATATTTGAGAGGAGTTGGATTTACATACTTCATTTTTTGGTTAACCAAGCCCCACTGAAGTGTGATTTAAAGTGTTTCCTTCTACCTCTGTTCTCACTATCCTTCCCCAAACCATGGAACGGGTGGGGCTTGAACCTATGGCAAGAGAGTCCTAAAACTCACAGGCCAGTGCGTTCCCCACCAGGCCAGCTGACTCTAATAAGATTTATGCAGCAATTAAGATTCGTTTCATAATCTGGTATCCTGCTGGTAACATTATATCCGTTATCACTGAATTTAGTCACTGCGACTTTTTTTTGTGTTTTCTTAGGTATTTTACTGATATGTTAAGCTATGTATGATAATTGTACTTATGTGTATCTGTACCTAAATAAACTATATATCTGGGGACTGTTTATTCTGTCTTTCCATTCGTCCGTTATATCGACGGAATTCGTACACCATACCTTCAGTTTCCGTTCTCATACTGTGTTCTGGTTCTCTGTGTTCTGGTTCTCTAGGTCATGTTTCTCTGTGTCCTGGTTCTCTGGGTCCTGGTTCTCTGGGTCCTGGTTCTCTGGGTCCTGGTTCTCTGGATCCTGGTTCTCTGGATCCTGGTTCTCTGTGTCCTGGTTCTCTGTGTTCTGGTTCTCTGTGCTCTGATTCTATATGTCTTGGTTCTGTGTCCTGATTCTGTGTGTCCTGGTTTCCTGATCCATGTCGTGGGTTATGGAGATAGAAGGGAAAATAGAGGGAGGTAGGGTAGGAGAGAGGTCCTTTTGTTAGAGATAGATAGATAGAGAGAATCACTCACCTACTCTCATTAACACCATAGTTGATGCATTGGGTGCCCACACACTCACAACATCCGTCGAAGAACCACCGGTAGGCAGCGGCGCCCATGGACTTACAGGTGTCCTTACACCTGCTGCCGGAGACACACTGAGACATGTACAACACTGTGCAGTTCACAGTCACTTGCTCCACCTGCGCAGTGTCCTGTGGGTGCACAACTGCGCACACGAGAAGAATTTAACAAAGTCATCCATAAAAACTTCATTTTCTCTGTAAACCATAATAAGACAGAAAACGGAAATAAGGGAAACTAATTTAAAACTTGCACTCTAGGGAAAAACATACTTTAAGATAATGAAGGTTTTATAATGACTGGATTATTGTTATAATAAAAAAGAAGCGTTAAACCTACACGGTATAATGACTGGAATATAGCATAAACTGGAGAACAGAGGTAAGAAATGCAATCAGGAATTGGAAGTAGTGAGGTTAGATCCGAGGAATGAGAGTGGTACCTCTAATTCCTTAAATCAAGAGACGCAGGAAAAAAGGTAAGTAAATTATTGAGTTTAGGAACTAAACTGAGTCCATCTATCATCATTCTATCATGCAGGAGGAGCCACATGTCTATGGTGCATCCAACAAAATAAGCAGACTCTTGGATGTCACTACCGCCCGGCTCCGGCTGGGTTACAAGTATCTTTGGCAGGTTAAATCACCACCACCAGATGTAGACCAAACGAAATGTAAACTTTGCCAGATGGATTATTGTCACACCTTGCGTCATTATGTACTGGAGTGCGATAAAATTAATGAATTTAGAAACAACTCACTCAGAAGTGTTCAAGAAATGGCTAAGTATTTTATCCACAGTGGTATATTACAGACCATTCTGGAGAAATACCCTGACTTTGCTAGCTGTAAATAAAGCATTACCACATATGTGTATGTGTGTGTGTGTGTGTGTGTGTGTGTGTGTGTGTGTGTGTGTGTGTGTGTGTGTGTGTGTGTGTGTGTGTGTGTACTCACCTATTTGTGGTTGCAGGGGTCGAGTCTTAGCTCCTGGCCCTGTGTGTGTGTTTGTGTGTATGTGTATGAGTGTGTGTGTGTGTGTGTGTGTGTGTGTGTGTGTGTGTGTGTGTGTGTGTGTGTGTGTGTGTGTGTGTGTGTGTGTGTGTGTGAGTATGAGTGTGTGTGTATGAGTGTGTGTGTGTGTGTATGAGTGTGTGTGCGTGTGTGTGTATGAGTTTGTGTATGTGTGTGTGTGTGTGTGTGTGTGTGTGTGTGTGTGTGTGTGTGTGTGTGTGTGTGTGTGTGTGTGTGTGTGTGTGTGTGTGTGTGTGTGTGTGATTATGTGTGTGTGTGTATGAATTTGTATGTGTGTGTGTGTGTGTGTGTGTGTGTGTGTGTGTGTGTGTGTGTGAGAGAGAGAGACTCAACAATCAACATTTGCACCAATAACTCACTACAGTTGTGACCAGGTGTGGAAGTGTGAATTGCTCATTACTCTAAAATTTGTTCATGATTGCAGCCATGTATACACGTAAGTAACCATTCTTACAGTATTCATTACCTTTGTAACTTGTGAGTTCATTACCTTTGTAACTTGTGAGTTCATTACCTTTGTAACTTGTGAGTTCATTACCTTGTACCTAGTTCAGCCATCAAAACTTTGGAGCCCGGTCCCTGGACCCATTATGTACCTCTGTAATCTTTTGACTACCGCCCACTGGATGGGTATGGGGTGCATAATAAACATATTAAACTAACTAACTGAATTTCACAAAAACTTAGAAAGTGAGTAATATTGACTGGCTTGAGCATCGGAGATACTTTTATTTTGTGCAAATAGAAAAGAAATGGGGTAATTTTTTGTCTCTAGAAATATTTAAAAAAGACCCGTTTATAATAAACTTATCCTAAGATAAACAAACCACGGTACGACTTGCTTGCCGTGAGTTCAACCCCATCCGTACAATGGTTCGTTTGTTGTCGTGTCATTACGATTTTGTGAGCCATGTTGACATAAGTTAACTTGGCCCGGCTTGCAAGGCTCTCTTTTCACACACTGAGGGTCCGGGTTTGATTCCCGGCAAGGGTATGAACATTGGGCGTGTTTCCTTACACGTGTCCTGCTCACCTAGCACGTAGGTACCTAAGTGTTAGTGGACTGGTGTGAATGGCATCCTGGCGGACAAGATTGAGGACCACAATGTAGCTAACCCTCCGGGGTTAAAAATCCCAACAAAATTTTATCTTACCCAAAGTTTAGTTGGTATTACTGGAACCTCATAAATTCTACCTCCCACCGTGTCTTCCATTGTAGATGACACCTGAGTTTGTCCTCCACTGAAGACACTGCAAGACCTTTAAATTACCTGGAGTTTACCTGGAGAGAGTTTCGGGGGTCAACGCCCCCGCGGCCCGGTCTGTGGGCCACAGAAAAAAATATGGAGTTCAATGATGAGAAATTTCAATTACTCCGATATGGAAAACGTGAGGAAATTAAAACTATATCGGAGTATAAAACAAATTTCAACCACACAATAGAACGAAAAACTAATGTGAAAGACCTGGGAGTGATAATGTCAGAGGATCTCACCTTCAAGGACCATAACATTGTATCAATCGCATCTGCTAGAAAAATGACAGGATGGATAATGAGATAAGATAAGATAAGATTTTGTTCGGATTTTTAACCCCGGAGGGTTAGCCACCCAGGATAACCCAAAAAAGTCAGTGCGTCATCGAGGACTGTCTAACTTATTTCCATTGGGGTCCTTAATCTTGTCCCCCAGGATGCGACCCACACCAGTCGACTAACACCCAGGTACCTATTTGCTGCTAGGTGAACAGGACAATAGGTGTAAGGAAACGTGTCGGAATTTCCACCCGCCGGGAATCGAACCCGGGCCCTCCGTGTGTGAAGCGGGAGCTTTAGCCACCAGACCACCGGGCCACCTTCAAAACTAGGGATTAGGGATGCCAAGCCCATGATGACACTCTTCAGGTCACTTGTTCTATCTAGGCTGGAATATTGCTGCACACTAACAGCACCTTTCAATGCAGGTGAAATTGCTGACCTAGAAAATGTACAGAGAACCTTCACGGCGCGCATAACGGAGATAAAACACCTCAATTACTGGGAGCACTTGAGGTTCCTAAACCTGTATTCCCTGGAACGCAGGAGGGAGAGAGTTAGTTTAATATCTTTATCATGCACCCCATACCCATCCTGTGGGCGGTAGTCAAAAGATTACAGAGGTACATAATGGGTTCAGGGACAGGGTCTCAAAGTTTTGATAGCTGAGCAAGTTACAAAGGTAATGAACTCACAATTTACAAAGGTAATGAAGTCACAATTTACAAAGGAAGTGAATTCCAGGTAGGTCTGGTCACAATCATGACAAGTTACAAAGGTATTTACAGATTACAGAGGTACGTAATGGGTCCAGGGACTGGGCCCCCAAAGTTTTGATAGCTGAACTAGGTACAAAGGTAATGAACACAGAGTTACACAGGTAAATGAATTCCCCTGTAAGAATGGTTACTTTCGTTTTATACATGGCTACAATCAATGAACAAATTATAGAGTAATGAGGCAATTCACACTTCCACTCCCTGTCCACAACTGTAGTGAGTTATGGTGCACATATATGATTGTTGAGAACAACACTCACACAGCACATCACACACACACACACACCACACACCACACACACACACACACACAACACACACACACACACACACGGGGCCAGAGCTCGACTCGAACCCCCGCAAACCTCAACTAGGCGATGCACACACACAAACAACACTCCATCACAAACTCATATACACACACACACACTCACACATAAAACAAACCACACACACTCTACACAAACTCCATACACACACATACACACACACACACACACACGCACAACACACACACACAACACACACACACACACACACACGACACTCATACACACAACGCACACACACTCAGTGCACCACACACACACACAAAGGTTTGCAACCTGGAGTTTACCTGGAGAGAGTTCCGGGGGTCAACGCCCCGCGGCCCGGTCTGGACCAGGCCTCAGGTGATCAGAGCCTGATCAACCAGGTGTTGCTGCTGGCTGCACGCAACCAACATACGAGCCACAGCCCCCGGCTGATCCCGGAACGGACTTTAGGTGCTTGTCCAGTGCCAGCTTGAAAGACTGCCAGGGTTCTGTTGGTAATCCCCCTTAATGTGGTGCTTGGGAAGGCAGTTAACAGTCTCGGGCCTTGACACTTAATTGTATGGTCTCTAAACGTGCAGTGACACCCCTGCTTTTCTTGGGGGGATGTGCATCGTCTGCCAAGTCCTTTTGCTTTCGTAAAAGTGATTTGGCCGGGGGTGGCAATTCGGTACTATCCCTCTAGATTTTTCCAGGTGGTATATAATCCTGTATCTCTCGCTCCCTGCGTTCCCAGGGAATACAGGTTTAGGAACTCAAGCGCTCCCAATAATTGAGTGTTTTATCTCCGTTTATGCGCGCCGTGAAAGTTCTCTGTACTTTTTCCTAGGTCGGGTCAATTTCACACTGTGCCTTGAAAGGTGGCGGTTTTAGTGTGCAGCTATATTCAGCCTAGATAGAACAAGTGACCCTGAAATGTCATCATGGGCTTGGCTCCCTAGTTTTGAAGTGTTCTCATTATCCCATATCCTGTCATTTTTCTAGCAGATGCGAATGATACAAAGGGGGGGTGTGTTATGGTGCCTTGAAGGTGAGATCTCTCCGACAGATCACTCCCAGGTCATTGACGTTGGTGTTTCGCTCTATGTTTGTGGCCATAATTTGTTTGTGTTACTCTGATGAAGATTAAATTTCCTCATTTAACCATATCTTAGTAATTGAAATTTCTCATCGTTGAACTTCATATTGTTTTCTGCAGCCCACTGAAAGATTTGTTGATGTCTGCCTGAGCTTTGGCAGTGCGTGCCAATGGGAAGACACTGTCATGGCAGATTCGGAGTGATCATCGCAAAGGAAGACACGGTGCTAGTCCCAGGCTCAAAGGAATGTCGTACAGGAAGGTAAAGGAAACGGACTGACAACACTGGAGGACAGAAGGGTCAGGGAACATGATAACGAATACAAGATACTGCGGAATATACAAGTGACAGAGTAGGATGTTCCCAGAGAGGGGACACAGGACCAAGGGGTCACAACTGGAAGCTGAA